AAAAAATTTGCAAGTATTGACTCTCGACGTTCATTGTATTCCCGTTCGTCGATTTTTCCACTATTAAATTGGTGTTGTAATTCTTCTAAGGAATCCATTCTTTAGTGGACTTTACTCGTCTCTTGAATTTTGGGATTTGATATTGCAAATTGATTTATATATATCGTTACCCAAATAAAAACACACAATAGAAAATGCTAAAAATAATTGCCTGTTTCAAAATATTTGTTCCGTAATTATAAAATTTCCTTATCAGTCTATCCGCACACCTCTTACCAACTATTTTGAATCAGCATGCAGTTATCTGATATTGTTGTGCATTGTGTGTACAAAAAGAGACTTTTTGTAACATTCAATCATGCATATCTCCACCAATTTGAGGTCGATTTAAAAATCATTGTCGGATAAGAGAGCTTATATTTGTATATTTGGAACCGCTTGTTATAGGTATTTCACTAATATATTCTTAACATTTTTAGCTTGCGTAATGTATATCCCGCTTTTTTTATCCCACCCGTATAGTAATAACAACAACAACTTAATTAACACGAAACGTTACAATCCGACGCTCGAATATTAGTTAATATAAGTAGATTCGTGTCCTTTGTTCGATTGCTTCTACAAATGTTTTCGAGAATAACGCTAAGGTTTCGTGTCTACGGGGATAAATTAAATTTCTATGAAGTATTAATAGAATGTGAAATGGGTGATAGCCTCGCTGTAATATTATAGGTTTAATACTCTTTTTAACTTTCCATAAATAGAATGTATAATATCATGACGCACGAGGATAAAAATATTTATGATACTGTTGTGTTTTTCCTGTTGCGTGTATTGACATATATAGATGAATAATAGATGAAATGTTTCAAATTGAAATAAATATAAATTGTGCAAAGTCCGGAATATAGTAGCAGTAATAAGACATGGCTGACCTTAATTCGAAACTCAGGATTCTTGATAATCTCCTACAAAATTATTATTCGGGAATATCCCCGCGTGTAACGCCAAGTGAATACTCGCACTATCGTGCTCTGGCATTCGAAACCTACTTTGGAGGTAAAAAACTTCAAAATTTTCAAACTTTGGTCTTATAATATCCTTAACTTAATATTAAACAATAACATTCTATCAGTCCAGCATTCGTATCAAGTAACGGAGAAGAAACGGGGCTTCTGGAGTAGACTATACAATAAAGCATGTCAAGTCGGCAATTATGCATTAAAGCGTTTAATTGGACCGATCCTCACTTCTCTGACCACAGGATTTTTGGCTGCGCACGGTGTACCGTTAATAGGCTATTATCGTTAATTGGAAGAACATTATGGTCCTGATTTAATAAATCTTTGTAATCTGCAATTGTGAAAAACATGTTATATAAAATTTTTCGTTAATCTGAATATTCTGTTAATTCGAAAAATTTCATCAGTTATAAAACTTAATTGTCTCTTTGAATTTAGTTTTTCATAATAAACCGGAAGTCAGAAAGACAAAAAAAAAGAATTAAAGACTGTTGACAAATTCGAGTTACGTAGTATTAAGCAAAAAAAAAAAAACAAAACAAAAACAATCGCACCTCGATATAGGCACTCTTGTATTATTTGCAATATAACACATCTTACAATTTACCAGCTTATTTCATATAATTTTGCCTCTAGATAGTCATATTTAGGTTAATAGTCACTATCGTACCATTTTAATTGCCAATATATATTATCATTATATGGTCTGCCCTTGTTTGAGTCATCAAAACTAGGGCGAACAGATTAAATTATCAAATCCCTGGTTTTTTCTCCTGAGATTTTCGTACAAATAAAATTGATACAAAGAATTGCTTAAATGAATCAATTTAATTTTTTTGTGTCATTTTGTGAACATATTGCTGATATTTAGAATAACGTTTGTTTGTCATTTGATATTTGTTTTACGGCTTTCTCTCCTTACGAGTACAGAAACATTCTCTAGTTAAAATGTTATTACTAAACTAAACAGTCTTGTTAGTACTTACCTCTGCACATGATCAATCTGTTGAAGAACTTGTTAGAGGCTTATTATTATACGTATTATACATTCTCTTAGCGAGACTTTTCTGTGCTTCTGGAAATACTAATGGTGATTTTTAAAGACAGTTTATACGTTCTTACATTTACAGCACTAATAATACGGTGCAATATTATTATCACTTATACGCAGTAAAGTCGATATAGGTTCGTTATATATATCGGATTTTGCTTAGTATTAGTACAAACTTTTTCTTGGAACCAGAGTTCTACTAATTACGTATAGCGAAGTTTACCCTTTAAATCGCTGTAATACGGTTTTGGTTTTTTTTCGATAACAGAGCTGAACAAGGCATTGTTCAATATAACGGAATTTATAACGGAATTCGCTACAGTTCATACTAATGCTAACACTAACGGGGTTATAATTTGTAGTAGATCCGTACTACGGCGGCCGAAATTTGTTATAATTCATAGTAATATTAATAGCACAAATTTACACGTCAAATATTTTCACTGGGGAGACAGCGACGAACAACAACAG